CAAATATACTGATATTTTTAATTTTGAATATATATCGAGGAAAAGAGGTGAGCAAAAGATACAATAATAAAGCAATATACATTTATCGAATGCAATATGTCAGAAGTTAAAACTCAAACAAATATATGTAATTATTGAAACTATGGTTTCATTAAAGTTTCTCAAATTGTAACACCATCGCAATTTTCAATCATAGGATCTAAAAATGGCTATTTTGTAAATTTTACCATATATTAAAAGAAATAGGAAAATTACACGTATAAGCAAATATATATTAGTTAATTACTTAATATAACTATAGTTTATCTTAATTATAATTTGTGACCTATAATTAGCTATAATTACGCGACTCAGTTTTTTGATTTTGTATATTTTGCACGTTCGTATAATTTGAAGTTTGTATAACTTTTGTATAATTCAAAATTTGTGTAACTGTTTACACTTCTGATTTTTGTATTTGTATAAATTTATTATTTCGAGTTTATACCAATTATACAAACCTGCGAATTATACAAACGAGACAACTTAAATTATAGCTTCAAGTCGTAAATATGCAAACTATAACTATGAGACATAATTAAATTTAGGGCAACTTTCACATATAGCAAACAAAAAATTCATATTTGTATGCTATAGCAAACTTTGCATGATTGCACTCCATAGCAAACATAAAACTGTATAATTTGCTATACATATAAAATTGTATAATTTCGCTGGCCTAAATTGTATAATTTCCTGGCCTATTTCGCTGCAATTGTATAATTTGTTTTCCATACAGTTGAATCGAATTAAAATGTATGTATATTGAATAATTATAAGTGTATAGCAAGAAGATATATGTTTTTCTCGCTTTATACAAAAATAGAAACACAATATATACACTTCTGTTGTATAAAGCTAGAGAAAATTGTATTTCACTGCAATTGTATAACGCAATTGTATAATTCGTTGGCCTTTTTCTCTGCAATACTTTAAGTAAAATATTTTTAAATTGTATAATTAAGTGTATAACACGAAGATATACATTTTTGCATGTGTATATACAATTTTCTCTCGCTTTATATAAAACGAAAACAGAATTATACACTTCTGTGTATAAAGCGAGAGAGGCGAGCGAGATTTTTGGGAGAGAGACGCTGGCAAATTTTAGCTAATATTTGCTATGGAGCACAATTAAATCAAACCCTAGCTATTCCATTTAATTTAGGTTATTAGTTTGCTATTATATTATTATAGTGGCTCTTTGTGAAAGTTCCGGAGAAGAAAAGCCTATTGGGCTTCCCTTAAATTTCCATTTCTTATTCATTAACAGAGGCCCAAAAGGGATCCATTTACCCAGGGTTTAAGAGTTTAAAGGAACTCCATTTCTACAGTGAATGGAAGATTCAGGGTTTAAGCAGAGAGAGAGAGAGAGAGAGAGATGGGTGGAGGAGGAGGAGGAGGAGCGGCGAAGGGGTGGTTAGGGCAAATGGGTTTCACAAAAAGTGGAGGAAGTATCAATTGGTACCCAGGGCATATGGCTGCAGCGACTCGTGCAATTCGACAGCGTCTTAAACTTTCTGATTTTGTAATTGAAGTTCGTGATGCTCGTGTATGTTTGTTGATTATTTCCTTGCTTGATTCTTCTTTAAAACCCATCTATTGATCATTTATTTTGATGAATTTTGCTATCTAATATTAGTGTGTGTGTGTGGGCAGATACCGTTGTCGTCGGCGAATGAAGACTTGCAGCCGATGCTTTCTGGGAAAAGGCGTGTTATTGCTCTCAATAAGCAGGATTTGGCTAACCGCAACCTCATGCATGTATCTAATTTCTAACACTCCTCTTCATGTAGTAAAATGCTTGTAGTTACTTTTTTCAAGTTTTAGTATTTTTTTCGCTTGTTGGAGCTTATTACCCGAAATGCATCGGTAACCCCGAGAATCATATCATTCATCCCCGGAAGTCATAAAAAGTTAAAAAAAGGCTATGTAGTGAGCTTACTGGAATGGATTAATCTGTTGTGTATAAAGTCGTGTTCTTTATACCTTTTCATTCAATTTTTTTTTAAAAAAAATAATTGTGGTGTTCGGGCTAAGTTGCGTGTATATTGACCAATTCTAGGGTACCTGCTACTTTTAAAGAATTATCGAGTGGGTTTGCTTGGATTTGAACCTAAGACCTCAAGGTTCTCAACGCACTTCATTTGACTATTATTATCAGGGCACACCCTTGGGGCTTGGGTGCCTATTGATTCAAGTCCTTTTCACCTTTAGAATATGAGAATCATATTAAAAGGGAAAAGATAAGCTTCCCTTTCTGAAATTAGCATTTGGTACTTGTATGCCAAGGGTCTACCAAGAATAAATAGAACCTTAACAAAGAATCCTAAAGTTTGCATCTTTTGTTCATGTATATTAAAATATGCTTGTCTATTAGCGAATTCTGTAGAAATTTTGTTTACCTTATGAGGTACATGGCAAAGACAATGTAGCTACTTATCTCAAAGCTGTTTAGTCTAATGTATGCCTAGCATCTGTTGTGTTTTTAGTTAGTTCTTCCATGGAGTTGTCATTAGCATTGAATATGTCAATGAGGCTACTAGAATGCAATTATTTTGACATGATTTATTTTATTAACTTTGAAACTTTGGCTTGTCTGAGGGAAAACTTGTAGGAATTGTATGAATCTACAAGCTACTTTCTATTTGCTTTTGAAATTTTAGTTGGTGAAACTTCTGATTTCATTCCATGCAGAAGTGGATTAGTTATTTCAATTCACGTAAACAAGAGTGCCTCCCAATAAATGCACACAGTAGAAGTTCTGTACATAAGGTTAGTGATGCTTTTTTCCATGCTCTTATCATGTTGAAAACTCTTGATATATACCCTTGGTATTCGTAAAACACGTAAATGATGAAGCCACAGCTACCTTTTAACTCTTGTCGTAAGAATAATAATAAATGCAGATTGCAATCAATACATTAGATTTTCTTAGAAGCATGTAAAGCGTATGCTCTATTCTAACATCTAGCTAATTGGTTCTTGGATCAAGAAATTTGAATATTTTTATAGGTTGCCAGTTTGCATCTCTTATGAGAGTTTCTAATCCAATTTCTATGATTCATATTTCAAAGCTTCTTGATCTGGTTGAGTTCAAACTTAAGGAGGTTATGACAAGGGAACCTACTCTCCTTGTCATGGTGTTGGGCGTTCCTAATGTTGGCAAATCAGCGTTAATCAACTCCATCCATCAAATTGCGTTATCTCGATTTCCAGGTGAGACTTGTTTTTGTTGGTGATTCCTTTTGGGTGTTGTTATAGGAAGCTGATTGTGGCTTATGTTTTTAGTGTACTTCCTATTGATGGTTATGATCTTAGTGCAGGAGAAGATGAAGAAGGCTAGAGTGGGGCCTTTGCCTGGTGTTACTCAAGATATTGCTGGATTCAAGGTTAGATATATTCAACAACGTAGAGGGTCAGATTGTGCTGTTGTTGCTTGTTTCTTAATGGCTTAAGTGGGTTTCCATGTTGTACAAACTGTAAAAGAAAATATGTGCTCTTGTCTTGCTTATTCTTACTGATACTAAAAATGCTATTGCATACAGATTGCACATCGACCTAGCGTCTATGTGCTGGACTCTCCAGGAGTGTTGGTTCCAAGTATTCCAGATATAGAAACTGGGCTAAAGCTGGCTCTTGCAGGTGTGCACCTAATTGAATTGTAGATTATAAAATTGGATTTCTGATTATATTTTGGTGCCTGCTAATGGTCAATTCTGGAAAATGACTTGTTGGTTCTGGCAAGTTTCTGGATGACTGGTCACCACAAAGGGAAATCCATATCTGTCGGGAACTATTTTCTCAATTCTTAATGATCCACTATTACACTAGTGATTTATTCTGGTCCTATATTTATAGCAATTCCTATTTGCATGTATGCTTATGCAGGGTCTGTGAAAGATTCTGTAGTTGGTGAAGAGCGAATTGCTCAATACCTATTAGCAGTTTTAAACACCCGAGGCACTCCTCTTCAGTGGAAGCACTTGGTTGACAGGGAAACTAAGGACCCTCACCATGAGTTGGAAAACAAATGTGGTGTTATCAAGGATCTTCAAAACAAGGGAAAGAAGTCCATGAACAAATCTAATGCCTACCGAGTTCAGGTGAGAAATGATTTCAGAATTCGGTTTTCTTAACTACTTTACTGTATTTTCCCGTACCTTTTAATGTATAAAACAAACGATAATTAGCTGTGCTGATTAGTTTGGTAAAAGATGTTTGCCATCGATCTGTATAGGTTTATGGTTTCATTCTTTGCTTCTTTTTTGGTTGCCATTTTTTTTTACGAGGGTCTTTTGTGCACAGGATATGGTTAGTGAAGTCCAACGCACACTTTGCATCACCCTCTCAGAGTTCAGTGGTAGTTTGGAAGATGAATCTGACCTGGAGATTCTAATCGAACACCAGTTTGAAGCATTGCAGAAGGCTCTGAAGATACCTCACAAGGCTTCAGAAGCTCGGATAATGGTATCAAAGAAATTTCTTACTTTATTTAGAACAGGAAAACTAGGTCCTGTCATCCTAGATGATGTTCCCGACGCTTCTGATTCTGTATCTTGAAATCATCCTTTTAAAGCCTATCAAACTAGCAACTGAAACCTAACGTCTGTACCATAGTGTATTATCAATTTTCTTGGTATCTCATTATCAAATTTTGCTCGAAAATGTTTAACCCTTATCAATAAACTCAAGTTTATGAATCTTGTAGTAATGACATTTTTTCCCTAAAAAATAGCATTGAGCATTGCTGCATGCAACATTTTCAAGTTCACTTTGTTGGTTATAAATTTCGATGGTAGTTCTTTAGTTAATTTAATGTAAACTGAACATTTCTCTAATTTTGTAACTGATTAATTAGTGATATCGTCAAGATCTTTAAAACAATTTGCTCTAAACCAATTGGAAAAAGATAAGGGCTTCTAGCCAAAGAGATGTGATCTCAGTTTCTTGGCTCTGTGTACTTTTTAAATTTGAGACACAAGGTACATTTGATTTATGACTTCTACGTATTAATAAAGCTAATACAAGGTATTGGGCTGTTACTCAATCAACCATTCTGAACAAAATTGATTTGGGTACCATGCATTAAAAAAAATAAGTAAAACTTCGTGAAGGGTAAAAAAAAAAGGAAGTTGTACAAATAATTAACAAAGAAGCAAGCCTTCACTTATTTGCTTCAATAAACTCTCTATACTCTCTCTTCATTTTAACACCTGATACCGTCCTGCATATACACAAGAAGTTGAATTAGCACGAGTATATGTCAAGCTACTCATGAATTCCTATATAACGATCGGCGTAAAAACAGGTAATTAGGACAGTAGATAGAAGTAAAATGATAATTTGCAAGTCGTAAGAGGAGGTTCCATTGAGTTAGTTATAGTACATTCTTGACAAATTTCATGGAAAATATTGAACAGATAGTACCCATTCCCAAAATTATGTTCAGGTGTTAGGTTAGACATGAATATTTATACTGTCGTGGTAGTGGAGAATGGAAGTGAGGCAAGGGAGTAGTGCAGTGCTTGATGACAGACTCGAGTAGCAGAGATGAAATAGTGTTTCGAAGGAGCAATCAGGCAAGGAGAATGAGCGATATATGCAAAAGAGAGGATTTAGTCGAAGATGTTATCTTCCTAAGATACATCAACGTCACAGTAAAAGGAATCTTGAGGTAACATAAGGAAATCAATATAGGACAATGAAAATAAAGAGTGAAGTTGCAAGAATTTGCATTTCCTATGAAATCAAGTTCATAAGACTTGATCAATGACTACTTGGACTTATTTTACTTTGGTGTATGGTGAAACTCTGAAAGTTCATTCAGATGGAACCCTAGCAACAATGAATGAGAACAGCTATTATAGTCATCTAAAATATAGAAAATTAAGCAAATTATACTTTTGAGCGGAAAATGTTACCGACCTGAGCATCTCCTTGTTCTTGAAAAACTGTACACATGGAGTACCCATAATCCCAGCTGCCTCAGCAATCTCTGGATCTTCAGTAATATCAATTTCAACAAGGTGGACATCCTTGTCAAATTCATCTATGACCTATTGCACAAGCGCAACAACAGGTTAGGTGTATGCACTACCAAAGCCAGTACTCAGCAGCAAAGCAGCTAATCTGATCAACTATTACCAAGTAGAAGTAAGAGAAAATACAAGTTACTTGAAGGACAAAGCTCTTAGACAATCTTTATCAGAGGTTAAGGTTTATCTCAGGATTTGTGTAACTTCATTGAGATCATAAGATTTCAAGTCCTCAGCTTTCCTCAAAATGATAAAATTATATTGAAACAGAACCTTACAAGGCAAATTGGTACATAGTACTCCACTCTTCTCAAATTGGTCTATGGTTGTGATGGTTAAATCAAAGGACACGTAAATGTTAAACATCTTCCGGTAAGATTTCTATAACAATAATTGCATACCTTGCTAAGAATCGGTTTCAAGGTCCTACATGGACCACATGTTGGTGATGTATACAGCACACACATAAGCCTTGGGCTCTCATGGTACAATTTCCGTAATGCATACTGAGAGGGAAAACAGTACAAACTTTATCAGATAGGGATGCAGACTATAGTAAATAGCCATTCAAACATAACAATCAGGAACATCTAAGCTTCCTAGATCTCATACCTGGCCCTTGTGCTTTGTAAGTGTTATATCAAAACCTTCTTGTACATCTTTCTCGGAGAGTTCCTTCTTAACTTCTTCAGTAGGGGGCTGATGAGATAATAAGGTTCAGGAAGATTCATTAGATCATGAACTATTGGTCTAGGAGTTCATTGAAGAAAATCCAAAGATTAGATATAAGTCAAGAGCGTTCAGGAGCTGGCTTAAAATCCATTTGAGAGCATGTCTATATACACATATCAAATGACTGGTAAAGAAAATATACAGGACTAAAAATCAGTTTTTTTTCGAAGTCAGACACCTGGTGGAATTCAAGAAGAAGATTTTTGCTTGTCAGATATCTCTCAACTGATAGAGCAGCTACACATCCTGAGCCAGCTGCAGTGATGGCTTGCCTCCATTCATGATCCTACCGACAGAGAACATTCATGGTGATATTAGGAAGTATCTCACTATAAGAAGTAGCAAAGACATTTGCAAATAAAAAAGATGATTAGAAGTTGCAAATGTTCTATCCAATTATGAGTTAATCTCAATTCTGAGAATTTCCTCTATCCAGGCAACCTAAGAATCCTTAAAAGAAAAAGTCTGATAAATGGCATCACATTATATTTTTATGGGATGGCTCCCTTCTTTCATTGCAGAATCTTAAAATTAAGTTTATAATAGAGAAGACAACCATTTTCTCATTCCACACCTGTCCCTGCTAAAGAGGAACTTATTTGAAACTTCTCTTGAGAACTTAATTCAAACGTTTCAATGACCAGGCTAGAGTCATGCTTTTCATCCACACTCATGATACATCTAAAGGGGCCATGCATAATTAACCTTAACATCCGCAGGTGTGAAATTACCACTTCAAGTACAACAATAGTTAAAAGAAAGGGAAAAGGCACAGCAGAAATGAAATAATAAATTGCTGTAAGTACCTGGACATCTCCAGCTGCAAATACACCTTCCACAGATGTGTTTGCTGTGCCCTCCTTGACCAATATGTAGCCCGAGTTATCAAGTTCAACTTGGCCTTCCAACAGTTGACTATTTGGTGAATGACCTATGCCATAAAACAAGCCTTTTGCCTCGAGCACAGATTCTTCCTGAGTATCAGCTTTTCTGATCAAAATTCCCGACATCTGGCCTTTTGGGTTGCTGACGACATCCACAGTCTCAGTGTTGAAATGCACAGTGATGTTTGGATTGTTGAAAACTCTGAAACATTCCCCATAATCAACCTGTTAAACAAACATTTCAGGGAGTTGAAACTCGAAATATATAGATCATTAGTAATTCAATCCGCTTCAAAGAATGAGGTTACAGAAATAGGTATAGCACAAGAAGAATAGCGGCAATAGATTGAAACTAGGGAAGAGTCAAACATGAAAATAACCAGCAACAAACCAACCAAGAAACACTGGATTATATATCAACGCACTCATCTGGAGGATATACCTACTTTAGTCAATCACGTAATGTGACTTGCAGGTGCATACTGAACTAAAATTATGATGATAGTGTAATGTGGAGAGCACATTCACTAGTGTGTACAACACAACAATGAACCCTTTTGAATTAGTATTTATTGAAATGCCTCTAGCTAAACCATATTACGTGCTAGAAAAGTGTAATCGAAGAGATAATCTTTGGTGACTCCCTTCCCAGCATTATGAAGTCGATATTCCAGGAACTGTCTATTGTACTCGATAAGATAATGAAATAAAGTACTAAAAAACACAAAGAAGACAGGCATGGATGTATCTCAGAATGTGGCCTCTGACAAGGCCAAGCTCACAACCATCATTGGGATCTTCTACCGTAAGTGCCTCATATGGCAGGGCCTGGAAGAAGCGAAAAAGATGGCACATATGCACATGTTTCTTTGAAGTAAAGAACCAGCACATTCAAAGTAAATAGTGATTTGACAAAATATAGGTGAAGCATGTCTGTGTAGATATCTTAAGCGCAAGAGAACTTCCCTAGATGTTTTTAAAGATTACATTAACGTATCGTACTTGTAAGCAGCCATGATATGACACTTGGAAACACTGCTATCATTCATCTCTCAGTCTGCAAGACACTGACAATTTTAACTTAAATTATTCATCTCTCAGTCTGCAATGTCTTAAAGTGACACCGACAACTTTACAAATATTTAAGGTATTCTACATCATATCAAGCCCTCTAAACTAAGGAAACCATTATGGAGGATGAGAGTATTATATGACCCTAACAATCCTCTCCCAAAGAAACCAAAAATGGCCCATCAGATACGACCTCGATCTTAAGATAAATTCTAATGCCTTGTGCTATAACATTGGAACGGAAAAATAATATGAAATGCACACAACAATTACCTGTCTTGCATTGCTCTTGATGCTCTTAGTTGGTCCTTACGGACAAGTAAATGAACATGGCGCGCATACTTTGTTAAGTATATTGCTTCCTCTGTAGCTGTATCACCACCTCCAACAACAGCAAGGACCTGACCCTTGAAAAGTGGTGATGCTCCATCACAAATTGCACAGGCACTAATTCCTCTGCTCCAAAATTCATCTTCACGGGGTAATCCCAACCTTCTTGCATTGGCTCCAGTAGCCACAATAATGCTATGACACTTTACCTGAAAATAAAGAAGTGAGCAGTGATCCAATATATGAAGCCTAATGTGGGAACTACATACCAAGGGGAGTAAGACAACTAGAAGTTTAAGGAATTAATTTGGCATCTGCGACTGCAAGAACTAATGCATTTCAAGCCCAACATCTCTTACAACATATGAAACAAACACGCCCTTCCCTTTTGTTATTGCAGAGGGAATCAAAAGAGTGCCGGTACCACAAATATGGATGTATGTTTCATGACCATCTCATGTATCAGATGAACCTCAGAGAATTGAGGGATTATAGACGGAAAACAAAATCGAAGATGCTTCTTTCATTCATAAGGTACAGAGAACACGTCAGACTCTTATATCATGGCTAAGGTACTCTGAAGATATAGATTGTTCTTTACACAATGCAGCAAATTGATCTTTCTAAAAAATGCAGCAAATTGTGAGGCCTCTTGTTCTACCATGTCAGCATCTTTTACATCTCATAAAGGAAAGAGATACTAAAAAAATAGAAAACGACTTGTATACTTGTACTTAATCAAACCACTTCCGAATGGAAAACACGTAAACCCATAAAGAAGTCCCGGTGTAGTTAAAATGTCTCTGTACTTTGAAAAGAATTATTTTTATTGGAAAGAAAATGTTTCTGTCTAGAAGAATAAGAAAACCCAGAAAGTACGAGCTTAGATGCCTTCTATGTAATAGCATAATATATTTTTTATCCAAGAAAAGGAAAAATGTTGAATCTATTTCTCTTCTTCCATTACACGTCTGAAATCTGTTTAGCTTTTCAGTTCTCACTCCAAATGAGAATACATACGTTTATATCTAACTTCCTGTAATTTTCTGGGCACTGTTTTGAGAACATATTGCAAACTTGACAAAAATACATGAACTGTTAAATAGTTCAAAAGTGACACTCAAGAAAAGAAAAAAAGATTGCTGGGGTCTTGATAAATGATGGCCATCCTTATATTCTTTACCCCATAAAATTTGTTAAAACATCAGATATTAGAATTGTTCTTGCGTGGAATTTTAAAAGATGCTCCAATTCAGAATAGGCAAACAGTTTGATGGGGATTAAAGATTTAAGCAGTTATAACATAACCTAGACAAAGTAATCAGCAACTAAAGGATGCATCACCTTACGTTCACTACTGTGGACAGTAAAGGGAGCATTCTTTACATCAATAAATTCCACATCTTCCTGATACAATTCAGCTCCCCATCTCTCAGCTTGTCGCCTCATCCTACCAAAATTACATAATTTCTCAGCCTTCAACAAAACTTTTGTCTATAAAAGGAAACTTCAAATAGATATCTTAATGAGAGTAAATGCTCAAAAACTTTTCTTATACCTATCCATTAAGTCAGGTCCAGTTATCCCCTCAGGAAATCCAGGAAAGTTTTCTACTTCAGTTGTTGTCATCAACTGTCCTCCTGGCACACCACCAGCTTGAAACCCCTCAAACACTACAGGCTTCAAATTAGCCCGAGCTGCATAAATTGCTGCTGTATATCCAGCAGGACCTGATCCTATTATTACCAAGTTTTCAATACCCTGAGCTGGAACAAACAAAAACACCAGTATTCTCAAAATTATACAACTAATTGCATATAAACTGCTGACAAATGAGCTATTTCCAGCTGCAAAATCAACCCAAAAGAGCAATTTCCAGCTGCAAAATTAACCAGCATCATTTTATATTTCAAATGCAATTCCGAATTTCGATAATACTTATGCTCGACTTCAATTCAATCAACTAACATACCACTCCTAATTCACTTAATTGACTAAAACAAATTTAAAAAATACACTATTTATTCAGAAATGCACACTGTAAGTCTACCTGAAGAACTAGTTCCGACCGGTTCCACCTCCGCCGCAGCTCGAATCGAAAACGAGGACGCACGGCTGCGAGTCAAGTGACCATTAACTGAGTCAACTCGAGCAGCTCCTCCCCGTCGACTCGTACCGGAGTTGATAACGAGCAAACCGGTCGGAATGCAGTGACCGGTCGATAAAGCCGCCGGAGTAGCCGCCATGGAAGTGGATGCGGGTCGGATTTTGGTCCGGATTCGGATTCCGATACCAACGGAGTTTGTAATATTGGGAGTAGTATTAGCCATTGGTTTCGGAACGTAGATATCTCTACAGCTGACACAAATTTGTTTCAACTAACTATTTTCCCTTTTCTCTCTCACACACTTACACACACATCTGTGTGTTTTGTCTTTGGATTTGTGCCGTGTGTGTGAGATTTATTCGTAATTTTATGGGGTGAGGATAACCACTCAACGAACTATAATTTTTATTTTATTTTTTTCCAAAAAAAAAGAACTATATAAGTAATTTTATCAAAGTTCATTGTTTTTGGTCCTCTGAAGAAAAAATATTATCCAAACAACCAAATGATATTTTGTATTCAAAGTGTAATACATAGTTTTCCAGTGAGAAAATGTGTGGCAACAAGTTTGTCCAACATTAAGTATTGTTTGCTTTGTATTTTACTTATTGTTTGTCAAAAAATATAATTTTTCTGATAAATTTTAAAAGTTGCACTTCATTTTTCAGTGTCAAAAATTGAAAATTTTAAAGATAAATACACGATGTAAATTATTTGGATCATTGATTTCTAAGATAAATAAATTTAACCGGCGGATCAATAAGAAGCAATCTCTTTGCCACACAAAAATATTGTTAAGATCTTAATACATCCCACCGCCTCCAAACTACGAAGGGGAGACCAGAAAAGAAGACAAAACACAGAAGAATGAAAGAAAGTACAAGTCATTTGAGCAGCATAACTATACCAACATATTCATATCATGCACCAGTAAGCTGATTTTCATGCATTCAGAATTCAGACATCAATGAGTAAATAAAGAGACTGAAAATGGGGACTAAACTCTCCAGTAAGACTAGAGGTACCAAATTATGATACAAGAAAGTTGATTCTCAGACGACTCGACGAATGTTAATAGTCTTAAAGAAAACATCAATATGGCTAATAGAGCTATATTCTAGACAAGTATTTCACATAACCAAGACCTAAATCGGAACTTCCATTTTTATTGGTATAGGTGAAGTGTCTAAAGATGCATTCTGAAGCCAGTCCTTGGCACAGATGAGGGCCTCCACGGTCTCAGGACGCAAGGAACACCTGTAGTGATCCATCTCTTTGCTAACTGTGCTAAATATAGAATCAGCCGTTACTGTTGAAACAGGAACTGACAAGATGTCACGAGCCATTTTTGACAAAGTTGGGTACTTAATTCTGTTGAGCTTCCACCAACCCACCACATCAAACTCGTGAACACGAGGCAGCAAGGACTCTTCCAGATATTGATCAAGTTCTGACCTTGACTGCTGGCTCGAAGTCTCCATAATGTAGACGTCAAAATCAGTAAGTCCAAGCCCGTTACAAGAAGCGTCGAGGCCTTGTCCATCCTCCTGCCTCATACCACTGCCATTTACTTCTTCAACATAAGTTGGGGTTAGGGGTAGAGGAAGAGCCACATATTCATTGAAGAGCTCATGGATTCCTTCCTCAACAGTCTTCACATAAGCGGCTGCTTCTTCTCCATATATTTTGGAAAAACTGAACTCCACAAGTTTCATTTTGAAGCGTGGATCCATTACTACAGCAATAGCCAACATTAAGCAACAGCTCTTCCAATAATTATCAAACATCTCTTGCATCATTTTGGTAAGTCTGCTGGTGAATGGGTCTTCACTTGCTGCAGCACGAGCCAATTCCAATTGAATTTTCCACGCTTCATGGAAGAATGTGTTGGTTGTTGGAATTGTTGGTGCAGTCAAGAGATTGGCAGTGTCAAAGAAGATTTTCAAGTAAGTGCAGAGAGTCTCAACTTGCTTCCAGTCTTCCAATGATGGGGCATCTTTGAAATCAGGATCTAATGCATCCAAGCATGAAAATACTTCCTTCAACTCCGTTGCAGCCAACAACATCTCATATGTTGTGTTCCATTGAGTTTGGTCATCAAGGGTCAGCATCTTTGTGCTAGGCACCTGAAGCTGCTGTTTGAGCTCAATAAACTTTTCCTCATGAGATTCCGATGTTTTCACATACTTAACAATATCTCTAACTTTTTTGACAGTGCCTTGCACAACTTTAAATGCATCTTGGGCAATGCTGCCTAAAGTTCGAGCAAGACAATTTCCAACCAATAATTGACCGTTAAGCACAAGTGGGTTCTTCACAGAGAGTAAAGCTCTAAGATTATCAATAGCAGCATCACCCAGTGGTTGATTAATAGTGACAGAAAATAACTTCCCCTCCATACTCCAGTCAGAAAGGCAAGCCGCAACAGCGTGGCTGAAAGCCGTCTCAGAATCTGGATATGGTTCCATGATGACATTGAGTATTTTCCTATGAATTTTCCACTCACTGTCAACATACTGCCCAGTTATGAATACATAGCCCACAGTGTGGTGGGAGGACCACATATCTAGTGTTAAGCAGATCCACCCAGGCACTCCCTCAATCACCTTCTGGATAGCTTGCTTTTCTCTAAGGTAAGTTGCCACACAATCTCCTTGTACAGTGTTGAAACTCACCATATCAAAACGAGGCTGAAGATTCTGAACAAAAGTAAGAAATCCTGGATGCTCAACCATGTGAAGGGGATAATCATGCATGATAATCATCTTAGAGATTTCCTGGCGGCAATGGTCTGGATCAAAAGCAACGTAAGGAGTAGAAGCAGTTCGATAACGTCTTTTAGGTGCACCATTATTACCCCCATATCCAGTCATCTTAGGAGGAGCACTATATGGAGTCAATTGATCATTCTGCTGATTACGCAGGACTACCGGACATGATCCTTTGGCAATATGGCGCTTCAGATGACTAGTTCCTGCTACTTTTGAACCTGTACTATATGCAAACGATTGCTTGCACTTCTTACATTGTGCCCTTCTAGTCCCAACAGCAACATTTTCAATGGTGAAGTGCTCCCAAACTATCGATTTCTTTTTCCTATGCTTACCAGGTTGAGTTTCTGGTGTTTCAACATAGTTGGGTTGTGGCTCTGCAAGAACCATCTCATTTCCTGGAATCATCTCATAGTCCTGAACCATTCCATTGCCCGGGACCATCTCATTGCCAAGCACTATCTCGTGTTCAACCATCTCATGTTCCTGCATCATCTCATGTTCCTGCATCATCTCATGTTCATGGCCCATCTCATGTTCATGGCCCATATCAAGTTCATGCCTCATATCATGTTCATGGCCCATCTCATGTTCATGGCCCATCTCATGTTCAGGTATCACCTCATGTTCATGGACCATCTCATGGTTTTCAGTGGGAGCTGCCGGAGTAACAGGTGTTTTTGGGGTTGCCATCCTAAGAGCAGCAATACACTCTCAATATCTGTATAATATAGTGATCAAAAGTAGAACAAGAAAAAGAAAATATCAGTAATGGCTAATGTGTTCAAAGAAGATGAGACGCAACAAATAAATAATAAGCTTCAAAGTAGCACTCTATATACAACGACAACATACCCAGTATAATCTCACAGTGGGGACAAGGGAAGGTAGAGTATACGCATACCTTACCCCTACCTCACAGGCAGAGAGGCTATTTTTGATAGACCCTCGCTCAAGGGAACAGTAGTCCAAAGCAGTCAGAAAAAGACGTAATTGAAGTATCAAGAATTAACATACAGTAACAAGACAACAGATAGTAATAGGACAGTAACTACAACAATATAATATGATAGTCAAGTACAATAAAAAACAACAAATAACAATGTATATCTAAAAGAAAACTCAGATTTAGGTATTATTATTTGTTATAATTTTCATGAAAACTCAATTGTTTTGTCAGCTGCATAAGAAAGAAGACGCTCAGAACAAACCGATAACATATACTACGAAGTACTAGAAAACGAGTCGAAATTCTAGAAATCCCTCATGAACATCAAAAATAGCTAAATAAATGTAAAAAACACCTGCTTTTTTATGATGAATAACAAAAAATAAAGAAAAAAGAAACTGAACGAATTAACATACTGCATTAAGGGATCATTTGGTTGGAGTGATGAGGAGATCTGATTTTCACATAAAATCCAGCATTATTATTATAGATGATTGGTAAATATCAATCATTATTAGTACAATGTTCACTTACTGCTTCCATTCCTCATAAATAATACACATATATTACGAGGAATCTTTGTATTATTTTATGTGCCTCTCATCACAAACAAATTATATCTTTTCTTTAAAAAGTAAACATATTGATTATACACTGTGTATTATTTCAAATTCAAAAAAAAAACTTTGTTTATTATTCCCTCCATCCAATTTAAGTGAGGAGTGGTTTAAAAAAGAAAGAAGCTTTTGAAACTCGTGGTCTAAAATGAGCAGAAAAAACTTCTTTGGCTAATAAATCACCACAGTAAGGGTAATATGTCATTCTTTTTGAGAGAAACTAACAAAAATTGGACATAGAAGTAAATTTGAATACATCAAAAAACCAAAACATCCAGCAGAAAAAACGTTCTTGCATTACTAATCCTTACACTATAATTCTTTGCATTACTAACCTCTGCATAACATGCCGCTAAACCAAGACAACGCCTAAGTACATGAGGAGGTTCTAGTGGAGATGCAAAGGGGATGGGGGGAGGGACCTCAGGATAGACTAACATTGCATCAAAAGCCCCAAGCTTTAGCAAACCAAATGCATGAAAAATAGTTCACTCATAGCTAGAAGGACTGTTCCAACTCAGCCCGAATTCCATCAAGGTATGGCCCAACTCGGCCCGAATTCTGATACAAAGGAACCTCAAAGGTCAGCATTTTATTACAAAAGGAAGTGAGGGTCAAACAGACATTTCGCAAAGCATGGGCTAAGAACAAACAAGACAAACAAACATCTACTTAGGGAAAATGGATCAAACATGGGCTCACACATAAAATATATCTAAAAAAGCCCAGATCAAACACCCTTACTAACAATAGATCTATAAAACAAACATACCCAGAAAATCAGAAAAACATATTCATGATTCAATTCACCTTCAAGCCCACAAAAACAAGTCACCAAAAAGAAAATCCTAAAGCATTTCTTATAAATACACAGAAATTTCAATCAAAAACTACAAAAGCTAACTTTTGAACAAACAACAAGGAAGTTCATCAGATATGCAAATGAACAGAGAAAACATACACAAAATACTAACAAAACGAGGAAATCATTCATACAAAA